AATACACAAGGCATGGTCTGGCTCAATCGCAAATTTTATTTATAGTAAATTAAGGCCATTTACATATGGCCTTACTGGCTAGTCTGGTACAGCCCCTGGATTCGGGTATATCCCAAACCAGTGCAGCAGACCACCTCTGGGCACTCAAAGAAGCAGCCGGAGGATGTCGGACCAGTAACTTAAGTTAAAATATATGTAACATAGATACAAGAATCTTAATAAAGGTTTACGGCAAGGCTGCCAAAGATTAAAAAAAAAAAAAAAAAAAAAAAAAAAAAATACTTGTTTTTGTGATCCATGAAATTCCAAGAAAAGTCAAAAAATAATGTTAACTGTCAATGTTAAAAAAAAAGATACAAACTATAAAATGCCTTATTCTTTAATGTATATAAATAATATAACTTGTTGGAGTCCAATATTTCCAAATGAAAATATTCGAACTATTTTATTCTATAATGTTTTTATAATAAACAATATAAAATATCTTATGATTATTTAAACTATAATCTGAAGAGAGAAAAAAAAGAGTAACTCAAAATAGATTATTACAATTTTTGAATACAAAAACAAAACTATTGAAGTCGTAAAAGCAAATTTAATTTGAAATAGTAAATTGATAACCTGTGATTAGCATGACCAGAATTTAAACCCAGCTTCGAGAATAATTAATATAGTCACTGAACTGTTAATGCTACATGACTAATTCTTTACCTGGTATACACACTATTTTATTATATTAAAAATAGTATAGGATTACAATCATGACATGTACTAGCGAAATAATCTGGTATTATAAAATAGTTTTTTTATATGTTGCATACTGGGTGAAGATTAAGAACAGTTAACCCAGTGATCTATGATTAAGAATTAAACAGACTTGACTAAACTATATCCTCTAAATTAACCTAACTCAGGCCAAATTATTGTCACATAATATTGCAATAATCACTGAGTTAACTATTTTTAAAAGTTTCAGATCAGTCATATAGCATTGACGGTTCTTTCTGTTAGTCATCTCTCATTTGCATTAACCTATTTAGATTACTTTTATATTCATGTTAATAGTGATATTAATAAGAAAACATATTAAAGTTAATATATATGAGAAAATTTAAATATAATTTTAATTTGCAGAAATTTATTTTATAGCTTAGATTAATATTAACAGGATAGGGACGACTGTAATAATAATACAGTAATAACACAATTACTTATTATTTATTGGTTTTTTTTTTATTAAAAGATTGACCTATGAAATAAAATAGCAATAGGTTATAAATAATAATATTAAATTTAATATTATTAAATTTATAAATTCAGCTTTTGATATTTGCTAAAACAGTAAATAGAAATGTATTGAACAAGATAATTATAGTATGATAAACATTGCTGTTAATCTATATAATTTTTCATATTGCAAATTTGTATGATTCATTATGCTAATACAAGGTAAAATAATAAAATTTTCACTACCATTCTTCGTGATCTGGAACCTGCATTTTTTCAAGAATGTGGTTCATTTGTACTATAACTTCACTTGGAACCATACTAATTCCTTTTGAAAGATCAAGATAGTTTAAAGCAATGGCCATTCCGAATGCAATAGAATTTTTTTCAGTATTTGGATTTGCAAAGATGCAATCAATTATCAAATTAAGATAGATGTAATGTGAATCATCATTAATGTTAACAGATTGGTTAAGTTTCAAGTAACACTCCTTTGTAATATCAGCTTCTTTGAATTTTCATTCCTCTTCATGCATGATCTGTTGATTTTCTGTTTTTAGTTTTATGAGATCTGAGAATTCACTATGAATAGTATCCTTAATTTGTTGGACTATGTTACTTCTTACTTGGCGGCAAAACTGCTGAGCCTGATAAAGGCATATAAGATTAATTAACTATATAATATATAGTTATTGCATGCAAAGTATGCAATAACTACTGTATTTTATGAGTGATGATGGTTGGTTAGTAACCCAGCAGTACGCTGAGTTACTGAATGACCAGAAGAGAATATAAAATACAGCAGTTATTATATACTTCATATATAATAATTAAAATTTATCATTATAAGCTACTTACAGATGAATGGACATTCTTGTTAAAATAGCATTTCTAATCACAATATTTTATCTTACTTTGAAACTCATCCTTTTTTGTATCTAATAGTGTGTCATAACATATCTTCATCAGATGTTCATCAGTTGGATACTTTATTTTTTCAATTGCAGCATAAATCACTTCTCCAATTGCATCCTATATATTATACAAAGTATTATAAACAAATTAGTGTATTATATATAAAATTAAAATCACTTAATATGAATAAGAAGCATACTTGACCCTCATTAATATAACCTTATTAATATCAACATGAATTTAAAACCAACCCAAATAAGTTAATATTAATGAGGGTCACATGTATATCCAACCTCTATTTACTTCAATTCCTTTTTTTTATTATCCTCAGAACTGATTTTTAAGTTAACATGTAGTTCATTAATTTTTGTTTGCATTTCTTGAATGGTAGTAAACATTTGAAGCTGCATATTATGCATACTTATAATGGTTGATGCCAATCCTAAAAATATAAAAGAACTATGACATAAATTGATTATTATTAAAAAAAACAAATAGTGAATAAACTTACAGATTTTTTTATATAAATTTGCATTGTTATTTATTGTTTTTCTGTCTTTTCATTTAGCATATGAATAAGTTGACTTATTTTCTGAAATATCGTCATCAATAGGATTCTTATTATTACTTGTAAGGTTTGGATCATATAAATTGTTATCAGTATCATCAGACCCAACCAAGTGGCTTTCTATATCTACATTTTCTGCAATTATCGTATTTGATCTCATCTGAATAAAACTGCTAGAGATGCTTAAAGTGCTAAGAATGCTTGAAGTACTTGAAACATTTTGTGTGTTCATTTGTTTTTTAATGAGGTCAATGGAAGGTAAAATATATTGAGCACCTTTGCATACTGGCACAGCTCTTCTCTTAGTACGACCTATTTTTGCAACAAAAGTATATGTATTTATAGTGCAAATTATAATGAACATAAAACCCACTTTGATAAATTTTATAATACCAAACTTATTCATCTTACCAATTATTACACACACTATTAATATTTTTTTACTTTTTATATTCTACTTCTAGCTTCCAATATTAAACTCCTCTATTTCTACCTAACCTATATATTTTATTCTTTTCACTTAAGAAGAGATTGTTTAATTATGGATTTTTAAAAGTATCTAAAGGCATCCTGTTAAAAAAAAAAAATTTATATATTTTTCATATACATGTATATACATTTTTACTATGTAATCATCATAATACTAGAGCTGATATGATCTATTAAAATATTGTCCATTCACAAAGTATCGATTTTGATTCACATTATTAACAAATCAAAAATTCTTATTTGTTATCTTTACAAAAGTTTAAATACTAATTTGAAGCATCAAAAGAGTGGTGTAGTATTTCAATATATCTGCATGATGCTTGATTAGTAATAAATTATGCAATTATGTGATCACATTATGCATGCATAGTTTATTTTAATATCTGATAATTGCATATGCAAATATAGTATGAAAGCATAATGAATAAGATAAAATTTTTTTTTCAAGTTAAAATAATAAAATACATGCTTTATAAATCACATGTGGTGCCAAAATAGTGTTTATAAATCTCAATAGTCATTTACATTTCAGTGATAACTTATTCAAAATGCCAAAATGTTTATATTGTAAGAAGGTTTTTATGAACTGGCAGGCATTGGGTAATTATATAAAAAAACATTTAGATGATAGTGATGAAGATTTGCTTTTGCCAAATCAAACAGATCGAATAAATTTGGTTAAAATAACAACAAAATTCTTAATAATCAAAACAAGCTCGAAAGGCAAAATTTATCTAAAACAGATATAAATTATAAGCAAATTTGTTTTGAACATAACTTAAATAATAGTTTAAAAGATATTAATTCTAATGTATATAGGTCCATTGAACAATAAAATTTCAGTATCTCATCTTTCACTTGCATAAGCAATATTCAAAATTTTGAATCTATTGAAAAACAGGATGTTGAATTTTTTGATTATAGCAATCTTTGAAGTAATACATCAGATGAATCTATTGAAAAACAGGATGTTGGATTTTTTGATCATAGTGATCATAGTGATTCTCAAGTAATATATCAGATAAACAATCTGATCTATCAGACATTACAAATGTTGACATTAGTGAATATGCTAAATATAATAATTTGCATGCTGGAAAACCAAAAGAACCTGAGAACATATACCAAGAATTTCCATCAGAAGAATATGCAGAATTTATGCATATAATAACATAGTTCTGTATACAAAATCCACTTGCAAACAGCTTTATACATTTTTTTAACAAATATTCAAATCACAATGATCATCTATTACCATCTACTTCACAAAGTGGGCGGGCATTTATTGAGAATCTTAATCTTCCATTCTTTGGTTAGAGAAAAGAAAATATTTTTAAGTATAAAGGACTAGAATATATGCTTGAGTTTAGAACAGTACTTGATGGGGTACACTAACTCTTAATAAACAAGAGTATTACTGAAGAATTCATATTTAAATATAAGCCATCTTTTGATAATGTAAATAAATTTATTTAAAATTTATCATGTTAAGGTCATACAAATTTAATTCTTAGTTTTCATAAGTTTTAAACAGATGTAACTGGCCAGAGGTTTTTTGTTCTAATTTCATATATAAAATTTTAATAAAAATAACCTACCCGGCTATTAAAAATATATAAAAAAAATTTTTAACTTTAAATTTGAACTCCACCAAGTTCAAAAAACAATTAATTAATTTCATATGGTCTAACTATAATTTTTTTTTTATATTAACAATTAAAGGTATCTGATCAACATTAGTATTCAGATATGTATGATTCTGACTGATAAAAAAATCTTAAACAAAATATTCCAATAGGGGCACATGTTATGCCAATCATTCTCTATTCAGATGCTACTCTCTGTGATCATTTAGGCAAGACATTAAGACATCCTGTATTCATGATACTTGGAAATATTTTCCTGGCTCATCATAACAAGGTTGATGCCAAAATTTTGCTCAGTTATATTTCTAGTCTTGATTATTGCAGTGCTTCTAAAAAAAAAACAGCATCATTTTGATCATTAGCCTGAAAACTATTTCAGTATACACTAGCTGCAATGCTTAGACCATTAAGGTCTTTAAGTTATAATGGTATTCATTTATATATTAATGGAAACCTCAAATGGTTTTTTCCATATTTGACACTTATGATCCCAGATTGGCCTGAAGCGTGTGTAATGTGTGCTGTTTATGGATCTCCAAAATCTTCACATCCATGCCACTTCTGCCTGATTGATTGTAACATAATAAATAATATTAATCTTAAAAAGAAAAATATAATTATCCATAATGAGAACACGTCTAAAAATTCTTTGTATCTGGGTGTTGGCAAGCAAATTTCAGTACACAATATGAGAAATGCCTTATGGCATTGACCGTAAGTAATTTTATAAATCAAAAGCATAGCAGCATATCAAAATATACTAATTATAATAATAATAAATTTATTGGTAAGCACTTCAATGTTTATACAATGTGCATACCCAATCATATGCATCACGCAGACCTCGGTTTGTTTCAATATCAGTTACAATTTACTATTGAATTATTAAATTTAAAATATGGCAATAGTGCAATAAAGATTCTTAATGAACATCTCATCAAAATTTCTCATTACTCAAACCTTAAAGTTTTTAAAAATGGAGTTGAAAGGTTTAATTAGTTAACTGCTGCCAAGTACAAAAACCTAATGAAAATAACATTATTTGTCTTGAATAAGTTAATTGTCAACAAAAAACTTAATAAAAATTTATGTAATCTTTTTTATTTTTGGATTGATATATATATATATAAAGTTGTCAGACTAAATTTACCAAATCTGACCTTGACAACTTTGAAGTAAGTTTATTGATAAAAATAAAAAATATATACATAATGTATTATTATTATTACTTTATTTTATTGATTTATTTTATTTTATTTTATCTAATATATATATATATATTTATGCAGAAATCAATTGTTATATGGAGTAGCTTATTTATTAAATTAATGTCTAGGTTTTCATCATCAAACCTAAATCTATCTAAATTACATAGCTGGTGATTTCATTTAATACCTTCAATTTACCAATTTAGTGCTCCTAATGGATTTACAACTGAAACATACAAGTTGTTACATAAAACTAATGTCAAGCAACCATACCATATGACAAACAAACATTATATAAACACACAAATGCAATCAACTGTAAGAATTTTTTTTTCTTTAGTATAATGGTTTACAAATAATAGATAATTAATCTTTTTTTAAAACAAAACTTTTTTATAGTATTGCATCAAAACATCTTTATGTCTTTTATTTTAAAGTCTCAATCAAGATCTAATAAAAGATCGTATAATGGAATCACTTCAAAAAAGGCTATAAAGCAGATGACTCAATATACAATCGATCAAGTTATAAACCAGTTATCAAATGCAGACAATTTATAGATACATGGTTTTAAACAGCTTAAACATTGCATTTATGATTATTTTCTAAGTATCAAAAATTGAACATCATATGATATTAAACATGAAATTATCTTGATCGAAGTATTTGATTTTGCTTATTTGGACAATGATAATAGAGAGATCATTCATGCAATTTCAAATTATTATAATCAGGCAGCCTTTTCAGATGTATGTATTGAAATAGATGAATTAGAACAAGATAATTATTTAACAGATAATGGATTGTGTTATGCAAAGGTATGTATAGATTAAAAATAAGTATGAATTTAATGTTAATTATAATATAAATAGTATACTAAACTATTTTAATTTTATTTTAAGATTCTTCTTATTATTCAGATCACTTTGTCAAAATTAGATCAGGAACTTGAACTTGCTCTTGTTTACTGATATGACTTTGCATATCCATTCAACAAAAATAGCTGCTATTTTTATAAATGTGCAATTCTTAAACATATTAAACATTATACTTTAATTCCTATTGCTTTAATTGCAAACATCATACATATCATTCCAAAGTTTAATAAGCCAGTCATTTTTTTCATAAATAGATACATTGATTATTAAAAAAATTATATGTATACTTGCTAACTAAATGGTATTTCAATAATTATTCTGCTTAATCAAGTACATATTTTCTGTTTTAAAATTTTAAATTAGTACTATATGTTGCCAATTAGAAGCAACCACTAAATAAAAGCAATCCTTCAGATTTTGGAAGCAAAAAATTTGACCAAAATTGTTATATTCTACTAACAAAATTGGGCTCGAATATAAGAAATAAACAACATTTTGGTTGCTTTTATTCAGTAAGGTGAGACCAACTTGATTCTGTGTTTTACATTACCCCCCACTCTTCTGAAGAAGGATAGTTTTATAATATTATATATATTTTTTTTTTTGTTTAATTTTCTCAGATCAAAATTTTTATTTTTTCTATTTTGGAATTTTTTGGCCACTTCACATTAAATTTTGTTCATCAATTTTGTATTTTAGGTTCATTCTTATTTAACTTAATAAAAATTATAGAATCACAGTATATAATAAACATGATTAGTAACAATATTTAATAGTAATATCATTATTCAAAACGAATTCTTAATTAACAGCATAATGTTTAAATCAAGTAGGATTTGCATATAGTTATTTTGAACCATGATCTTACATCTTTACTAAGGTAAATGTTGTCTATATTTCTAATTTATTACTAATATCAATTATATAAACCTTATTTTTTTACTAATTATTTGATTCAATTTCATTGCAATTAACAAAATATCGATTATGCTTTGATAATTCTTAGCAAGACCAAAGTGAATTACAAAGTATGACTGAAGACACTAGTGGAATTAATTTCATTATATTTCATCAATTTAACACTAATTTTATCAGTAAAGCATCTTTAGTCATGACTAATTAATATCAGCCCATATTAAATAGATTTTAATATTAGGGTAAGGCTCATTTGACTCTGTTCATTAA